AATGCTTGATTTCCATAAACAAGCAAAAGAAATTAATTCTGAAGGAAAATTAATAAGAAGAAATAGTGTCAGCTTAGAAGGAGATAATCTTATCGCAAGATTTCTCTCTAGACAAGACTCTAGGATAAGTAGACTTAAAAATTTAAGTATTGCTGAACCATCAAGTTTACAATATTACATTAAGACAAGATACGTAAACCAAGAAAGATTTAAGAAAAATCTTCTTGTTCTCATAGACACTGGAGCAGATAAAAGCCATGTAAATGCCAAGTTTGTTGGTCATTTAATAGACTTTGAAATACCAGAACCATATATATTTAAGGATTATTTGGGAAATAATCTTGAAATAAGAAAATATGTTAAATTCCCTCTTATACTTGTAGGAGAGGATCAGAAAGAATATACTAATGAAATAATTCTATATAAAGATGAATTATATGGAGTGAATCGTTCACCTATTCTATTAGGAATGAACTTTCTTGAAAAATATAGTCCTTATAAAATCTGCCAAGGATATTTGAAAATAACAGTTGATGATAATCCAATTATTATTTAAAGAATAGATTAAAATATGAAATCATTATTATCATGGAAAGAGTAATAAGTACTAATCCCATGAGTCCATATATTGAAATTACACTCAATATAAAAGATTATTGTAGAATTAAATTCCATGCTTACTTAGATACAGGAAGTACAATAAGCTTATGCTTACCAAATGTATTGCCATCTGAATATTGGAAATATAATTCAAAGAAGGTGGTAATTGCTACAACAGCAGGTGGAAATAAGGTAATATACAGCAAGTATGCTAATCAAGTACCTTTTCTAATCTCCTTTAGAGAAGTATTTGTTGATACAATATATATGTCAACCACAATTGGATGTGATATTTTATTAGGACAAAATTTCCTATTAAAATATGCTCTATTTACACAATATATTGATAAGTATATGTTCACAACACCTTGTGCACATAAAATATTTACACCAAAAATAAATAAAGCTGTTACAATTGCATATAGAGATATAAAATATCAGAGTTCTTCAACCCAGCGTGGTGGATGTTGGAGTACAGAAAAATTTAAACCAGTTACAGTATTAAAAATATTAACAACAGAAAATAGGTTAGAAAAATTGAAAAGAGAAATCTCTGAAACATATTCTGAAAATCCATTAGAAAAATGGAATACAGATAAAGTAAAAGCAAAGATAGAATTAATTAATCTAGATACTATAGTAAGGGTCAAACCTATGAAATATAGTGTTGATGATCAAAAAGAATTTAAAAACCAGATAAAAGAATTGCTAGAAGCCAGATTGATTAGACCAAGTAAAAGCCCACATAGCAGCCCAGCCTTTATGGTTAGAAAACATAGTGAGATAAAAAGAGGAAAAACCAGAATGGTAATAAACTACAAAAAATTAAATGAAGTTACCAAATTTAATGGATACTACTTACCAAATAAGGATGCCCTTATTAAACAAGTACAGAACAAAAAGATATTTTCAAAATTTGATTGTAAGTCAGGGTTTTGGCAAATTATGCTTACAGAAGAAAGTAAACCACTAACTGCATTTAGTACCCCCAATCCTTTAGGACAATACGAATGGAATGTAATGCCATTTGGGTTGAAAAATGCACCACAGATATTTCAGAGAAGAATGGATGAGGTAATCAAACCAATTACTCATTTTTGTATTGCATATGTAGATGATTTACTTATTCATTCAAATAATATTGATGAACATATTGAGCATCTTGAGAAATTCTGTTATATTATGAAAAAACATGGTATTACACTTTCTCAAAAGAAAGCTGAGATAGCTAAAACAGAAATAGAATTCTTAGGATTATTTATAAAAGAAGGAGAATTGCAATTGCAATCCCATATTGGAGAAAAGCTTCAAGAATTTCCTGAATCAAAGATAAAAAACAACTACAAAGCTTCCTTATATACATCAGGAACATTTAAAGAAGTTGAAACAAGATATGAGACGAATAGAAAAGAGCTTATTGCTGTAAAAAGAGGAGTTCAAAAATACGAAGATTATTTATTACCAAAGAAGTTCTTGATTAGAACTGATAATACTCAAGTTAAAGCATTTTTGAAAAATAATGTTGATCCATCTATTGCTAATAGATATATTATTAGAATACAAATTTGGTTCTCATATTTCAAATTTGATATTGAATATATTAAAGGAAAAGCTAACTTTTTTCCTGATTATCTTAGCAGGGATGGAGCTAGAACAACTAAGGACGAAAGTCCAGATACTTGAAATAAAAGTTTCCTATTTGGAAGCTCAAATTCAAAATATCCAAGATAATCTTCGAGGCAAAAATATAGCCCTTGAGGCAGAAGATACTTGTACCAAACCTAGTATCCCTTCGCAGGGACTTGTGAATACTAGCTCTCTTCCCGAGGATAAAGGGAAAGAAAAGAAGATAATAGGAACCCCTTTACAGGGAATACTCACACCTATTATTGGTAATAAAGATATTCAAGATATCAAAAAAGAAGGTAGCTCTTCACAGAGCCAAACTCAATCTAAACTTTCTATTGAAAGGATAGATCCAAGAGATATTGTCAAAATATGTCACGAAGCAAAAATTCCCAGAAAAGATAACCATGAAGAAGTAACATTCTTTATTGTTATTTTTAATATTCTTTCAGATTGGTATTTTGAGATTGGAAAGTGGATGAAGACTCTCCATTATTCAAAATATAATAAGATAAATTTTTATCCAGGAGCACCAGCCAACTGGGTTCGAAATTGCTTTGAAATTGGAAATATACTTTGTATATATCCAAGTAAAGATCTTAAAGAGATAGCTCAGCTTCCAGCCAACATCAGGAAAGCTGTCAAGAGATATACTGAAGTTGTTAAAACAACAAATATATATATCAGATTCCATTCAGCAACAATGGAATGGGATCCTGTCCTTGAATATATGCATCCATCGTTCCATGTGATCAAAATGGGACTAACAAATCAACATTTTTTACCATCCAATCAAAAGGTTGTCAAAATTGGATATCAAGATATTCTTAATATGATGCCCTATAGAAGAGCCAAAGGGTATAAAGAGATATTTGAACATGTAACTCAGATAATCACTGAGAAAGAAAAAATATGGGTTTATCCATTTGAAGATCATATTATTTATTCCAATGCAAGAATGGATACCAAAGAAGAAGATATTTGTTATCTTGACCATTTATTATCTGCAATTATATCCAACCAAGTACATGGATCGGAAGATATGGCTAAGGAATTATGCAAGATACTTTGGAATTACAGTGATCACCACTGTGAATATTGTGTTGTTGAAGATATGAGCCAAGCATCTCTTAACGATGAAGAATTCCCTGCAGAATTCTTTGATTCAAAAATGGAGAAATGATGGTGATTGAAGTAGCCCTTTATCACTACTTTAATAAAGAAATTTATTAAAGAAAAACTGTGGCTACTAAAGACAAAGAAATAATATAAGAAAGTCTCCATTATTGTGACCACTTACCTACTAATTGACACAAGTGGCAGACAAACTCAAAAGATAAGGCACATAATTTTCAAAAGAGAGGTCCACATAGCAAGAAGACAATGAAGAATTCGGTGGAGATAAGATGCCTTGTTACCTAACAAAGAAAGTGGAAGACACCTATCCAAGATAAGATTCCAAACTTTCCTATAAAAGGAGACATGAAGGAAGAAGGAAAGGAGCTCGAAAAATCTATCTCTATTCTCTGAGAACATATTAGAGAAAAATTTCTTGTAATCTGTATACACCACTTGTATTCAGAAAAATATTAGATAGCTTGAAGATAGGAAAGCGTGTAATAAGGTAATCATTTATGGAGTTCTAAACTTCATAAGGTGAGTACCAAAGGTATGTAAATATAGTTTGTAAGCATGTACAATTTCAGTTTATGAATATCAAAGTAAAGTTTGTTATGTTCAACAAAGTTTCCATAAAAGGATTTCGTTAATCTTCTCATGATTCCTCGGCAGTACAGATAGAGATTTTAAAAGATTTTCAAAATATTGATTTTGAATGGATGTTAGCCATGCCAAAGTACCCGTCTTTAACAAATGGTTTAGGGGAAAAGGGCAGTTTTCTAACAAAAAATTGTAGCACTTTGAGTGTGAGTTATCTTTTAAAATTTCGTTCCAAGTAGGAACTTGATTCTGAAAAGAGTTTGGATAGAGGTGAAAACAGAGACTCTGGATACTGTGAGATAGTGTCTGTGGAAACACGGCTAGTTTTCTAGAATGAGAAATGCAACCTTAATTGAAAAGCTTTTTGCGGAAGCAGTTGTGGACCCAAATGATTTCAAAGACATTTTAAATCTTTACTTGATTCAGAAGATTGATTAAGTACATGCAAAGCATCTATAAGAGCATACTGGAGGGAAAACCTGTTTATTTCCACTTGATTACTGTAAGTTATTTACTTATCTTTACATGCTTATGCTTTAATTATCTTTGATGAGTAATTCACAAGCATCAACTTCTACTGTTAATAACGATAAAAATCTTATTTTATTTTTAGATGAAGAAGATGTTTCTTTCCTGCTCAAATTAGATGTAAAATCTGATGTTATATTCCCTATTGGTAAAGAAAAAATTAAAGAAATATATAGAGATATAGATTTTAGTTGTAAGAATAATATAAGATTTGATTCTGTGAAAACTTATAGAGAAATAAGAAAAGTAGAAGATATTATAACTAAACATACGGATATACAAGAAGAAATTTCAGAAGGATTATTTAAAGGATATATAAATAAGAAAGACCAACCTATAATCTTTGAAGAACTATTAAAATATAAAGAATATTTAAAGGTGTTCAAAAGATTGAAAAATATAGATATAGGACCTGATTGACAATTCCTTAAAGATATAAGATAAATCTTGCAAATAATTTCATTAAGGGCAATATAGTACTTTTGATAAGAAAGGCTATTGTGAAAAATAGGAAGAATCTACTAGCCATTTTCAAAGTTGTCCCCTCTCTACTCCACAGCACAGCACTGCACTGTTCACGAACAAACCCTAACCCTGAAACAGGAAAATCGAGTCATGGGTGTGGAAAAGGAAATTCTGAACGCCGGCACCGGTCCCAAACCAGTACCCGGACAGAAAGTCACCGTCCACTGCACTGGTTTTGGTAAAAATGGTGATCTCTCTCAAAAATTCTGGAGGTAAATTTAAATATTGTTTAGAGTTTGAGTTATACTGCGTGTGTGCGTGCCTTATATATATACAGATTTTACCATTAATTTAGGTAAGTAACAATTTAAGTTTGAATTTTTGGGTAATAGCACCAAGGATCCGGGGCAGAAGCCATTCTCTTTCCAAATTGGTCAAGATAAAGTTATCAAAGGTACCTTTTTGGGATAATTTAAATTATTTTTTAATTTTCTGTATATGTTTTTCAGTGCGTGTTTCTTGTATTATTAGTAATGGATGATAGGGATTTGAGATTGTGATAGGATGGGAAGAGAATTAATGGGAAGATAATTAACTGAATGGAAATGTGAAATGGAAGTATAGATCTTCTATGGGTTTGACTAAAATTTGGAAGAGCTGAACGAATTTAGGTGCATGGATGTTATGAGATATTTGACTCTGAAAAATTCCTAGAGAAAATCCTAATTCTAAAGATTTGGTTGTGAACTAGTTCTATCAGTTTTGTCTTTTACAGTACGTGGAAACGGGTTCTAGATATGTTGCAAATTTTGTTGTGAAGAAATATTTTCATGCATTTTAGTTAATTTATTTTTTAACTCATTAAATTGCACCATGTATTGTAATTGGTATCATCAAGATATCATTTTGTTGTATATGCCATGTAGCTAATGCTTTTGCTAGCATGAAAAAACACTTTCTGAAATTGCTGATGCGAAATTCATTTGTTCTTTAAGTTCTCAATTATGTAGCACCTTTTTTCACAGGATGGGATGAAGGTGTGTTGGGAATGCAAATGGGAGAAGTTGCTCGATTACGGGTAATATTCAAATGCATGGATTCATTCTCATGTAGATAAATGTCATTTGCTGAATTAATTAAATCCAATTTGCATTTAATGACTATAGCTCTAGTAGGAAATTGGTGGTAAGTTGACATATTTTGAGAACATATCAGACATTTATCTGGAAACCAGTCAAAATATATGCTTCTCTTGTTCTTAAGCTCTGAATTTCAGCTTATCTGTTATTCAAACTTTTATGAGGTGAGGAGTACAGAAGCATCAAAATGAATTTGACTCATTGATTCGAGTAATTGTTTAACTATGGTATCTAGAATTATTGCCATCAATAATGGGGACAACTTTGTAAACATATCTTCAATATAGAAATGAAAATGCCTGATTTGAGCAAGCTTCTAATTCTAGCTCACTTGTGGAAGAATTTTCGTAGTAGGTTTTCTATCATTACTTGCTGCTTGTGTATTTGTTTAAGCTTTCTAAAGTAATTCTGAATGCACCCTCTCTCTTGCTTTCTTACTCCCACCACTATTATGGCTCATACTTCAGTTCTCCATTGTAATCGAAATTCTTAAGTAAGAGGTCAACTTTTGCTGGACCTACCTTTTTTTCTGTTTTTCTTTCAATTTGTCTTATTGATTCTTTTTTCTTTTCGCAATTATTTTTTGATTCGCCCTCGAAAAACTCTTTTTTTTTTTTTTGATGAATTAAAAAAAAAAAAAGGAAAAAAAATCCTTAATAGAGTTTCTCTTATTCGTATTTACAAACTGTATTCTGAAACACGGAAAAAGATCATTGACTTATACAGATACGTCATATGGTTTTTTTTTTTTTTTGATGAATAAAAAAAGGGGAAAAAAAATCCTTAACAGAGTTTCTCTTATTTGTATTAAAAAAACCATATTCTAAATAAAAAGCCATATCATGAGACACGGAAAAAAATCATTCTCTTATCCAGATACATCATGGTATGAGATTTTGAAAATTCGTTGATAGTACATTTTTTTATAATCTCATTTCTTTCGATGGAGAGAGGGTCTGCCTTTTTATATTTCTACATTTAGAATTTGATTTCTTGCTATTGTCATTATTATATCATCTACTCGTCCTCACTATTGTTGGAATTCATCGTTGCTTAAGATCAACCCCTTCTTTTCCTTTTCCGAGTGATTGTTCTTCCCTGCTTGCATAATTAATCTCTTGCTAAATCTATGGTTAACAACCTAGGAGGAGGTGTTGATTTTAGCTTTATTAATTTTTTACAGTGCTCTCCCGACTATGCCTATGGCCCTGGCGGATTTCCAGCATGGGGCATTCAGCCCAACTCAGCTCTGGTTTTTGAGATTGAAGTTTTAAGTGCGGAGTGACTGGCATATCAGATTTATTGAGTGATTGAGGAAGTTTGGTTACTTATGTTTAATAATCAAGATTGTTGAACATGCTACATGACTTGTTTGGGAAATGATTACGTGTGTAGAAAACCAACATCTTTTATTGATTTTCAGATTGTTAAAAATGGAACCCTGCCTTTGTAATTGTGGAATTTTGATACTAAACCCTTGTTTCAGTCCTGTTAAAAAATACATTTTTAAAAAGGACTTTAACAACATTTCAACCATACATTTTTCAATAAAATAATATTACATGCAAATTCAAAATGTTTTCTTATTTTTTATCTATATATTTTTCATCGATATACTATTCAATAATTCATTCTTATGAAAAGAATGGACCTCAAACAAGGGCTAAATACAAAAACCAAAGAACTTGGTCGATGTGCCATAAGCAGCTCCTCCGGATGCTTGATGAAGAGGGGAAAATGGTGTTTGACTGAGATGAGCATCCCCCAAGACTGGAGCATACAATTCTTTGAAATTCCTGAGGAAAATGACAGACATGGATGATTGGACCAGTGTCAAATAAATGATTCAAAAGTAACTCAGATAAGATAAATTAAATATGTGGGATGCCTAATAATGTGAAATATGTAATATTCGAATGATTCTCACCTGATAAAAAACTTAAAGGATGACTGCATAGGGAAGTTGTTTTCTAGCAAACATTCTAGCAGCTACCATTCCAGCAGCCAGTGCTGCTCCAAATAAAGTGTGCAATCTCACACAGTAATACTTAGCCATGAAGATCTTTGTTTTGTCCTGTGACATTTTAATTTAGAATCCATAATTAGAAATACCACTTGACCCCATATATAGAACTCGTGTTTGGCAACATCAAATTGAAGTCTTGGAATCAGAATGTTGAAGGCAAAATAAAGTGTTCCCTTTCTAAATATTTAAGCTTTTAATGAAGTGATTCAACATGATATCATAGTACTGGCTTTGAGTCTTGCCACCACTAATTTATAAAAATTGTACATGTACCGGCACATGAGCATAGTGATTGAAGGATGTAGTTTACTTTAGATGAAACTAGACTTGGGCTCGTTTGGCATGACCTTTTACTTTTGATTTCTGAACTTTTAAAGAAAATCATCTTAAGTTTTGTTTGGAAACCAATTTTTAAAAGAGCTTCATATTCCAGAAGTGCTTTTAAAAAAAGTAACATTAGACCACCTTCCTCTAAAAGTTTTTATAATTAAAATGTACACTTTTATAAAATGAGCCAAACGGATTCAAAAGCAGCTTTTGGATTTCAAAAGCCCTTTTTAACTTTTCAAAAGTTATGCCAAATAGACTCTTGGAATGTACAAAGCATTCATTAAATTACACAATACTAAGGTGTGCTCAAAACCATGAAGCACTCAATATATGTAAAATTATTGAACTATAAAAGCCAAGTTAGAGGAAGTTCATTCAAGGAAACCTTACGCACCTTGTGGTTCTCCTCAACGTAGCTAACTACTGAATTTCCCATTGGCACTGTCAAAGCACAAAGAATCTACACAAGAACCATGATTCAAATAAATAAGAGTACAATGAAAAATGTAGGAATAGAAAAAATATGGCCGTGATATCTTAAGAAAAAATTGCTATGATTAGAACATAGAAGTTGGAAAGACTTACAACACTTGAGAAAGGAATTATTTGTCCAAGTCCTAGAACAAACAGAAGTGAATAAATTGTCACCACTGCCAATTTTACTACCTTTGAACCTGCTTCAGTACCGAGCCTAACCTAAATTTCAACATAAAAGGATTCGTAAATGGCTCCTTCAACTTCGTCTTTTAAAGCTTATACTTTCAACATGTGTGTACTCACCAAAGGCGAAATCTTCCCAACAGCCTTATCCTCCTCTATCTGTGTCGTTCGTTCTTCTTGTCAGCCAAAGAAAGAGAATAAAGATCCCTAAAAATGTAATATGTAAATAGAGCGGGAGAGTTAAAACCTGATGGAAATGACTGCAGAAGAGGATCAAGGATGTCGTAAAACCAACAAGAAGAGACGCAGAGATGATCGTGCCATTAATTGTCAGCTCACTGTCATAATACAAGAAATTAGTATAGAGTAGATATGAGTTTAATCATCAGAATTGCAAGTAATCACATGCAACCTTGTGCCACACTGAAGCGAATAAAAAGCAGTAGTGGCAAATGGGCCAAATGCCGAAAAGCACAAAGGTTCTCCCAGTCCTTGGTAACTTAAACGAAATGGTGGACACTGCAACACAGTTTTTACAGAACATGAAAATCTGGTATATTGCACAGTAAACATATCCAGTACAATGAGCAATGATTCACTAAGAAAATGTGTAAATAAGTTACAAGAGCTATAAGCGAAGCGGATGCATGTATTCTCAGATGGAACAAATGGAATGCCACAATTGTGAGTAAAGTTCCTCAGGACGTTTATAAAAAATACCAGAACATTTGAAATTAGAAAAGAAGAACAAATGGGTCCCAACAAAGTGGTGAAATAATCTTTAAATAATGTTGAAATGTTAGATTAAGTAAAGGGTGATAAAACTTGTATATGGAAGTGAAGATGGAATAGCACTTACACAAAAAATATAAGCCCAGAGTTGTGCTTTCTTTCCGAGGACTTTAAAGGAGGGAAGGAGAAAGGGAGGCAAGGAGACTAAGAAAATAGAAAAAGAAAGAAGAGTTCAAATGGACAAGATTGGGGTAAATAAATCCGGTCTTCTCCTTCATTATGTAGCAGGGCAAGACATCACGGCTGGCTTGCATCAATTTCACACTGATCATTTACTTAAAAAATAGTTCTTTTGCTACTTTTGTGTGCTTATTTCTGAAACAAGAGTGAACATATGATATCTGAGGGACGCAGCATCTATAAGTGTGCTGAAAAAAGCCTTGTTCTCGGACATAAAAATATACTTGGGAGAATAATGTTCTGAAACTCAAAATGCACCAGTGGAAGGAAGGCGGCTATCTCACTTGCTAATGAGCTAGTAAATTCAAGATAGATAATTGATGTTTAGTGACTGCTGATATTAATTCAATAAATTTCTGAAATGCAATATGCATAATAAGTAAAATATATAGTTTCTTGAAGAAAACCGGACTGCAATATGTGAAAATTTACAACTTTCTAGATACCAACTGAATTAATTGTACCTGGTATATGTACCCGCAAATAACTGCAGAAGCAAGTAGTAATAAGGAATGCATACTTCCAGCCTCCACAGATACCCAAGTAAGGCCGACGAAACCAAGAACAAGTAATAAACAAGCAACAATGAGCGTCCCTGTACGACTTTATAGAACAACACAAGACATACTGAGCCAACTGCGAACCATATACTAAACAAGATACATAAATGAATAACAGGCTTAGTACAACTGTCTGGACATTTCTTCAAAATTCGTCTTACAACATATTATTCACCACCATTATGCAAATTAAAGGGATACTAATTAATAATAGTTTATATAGACGATAATGATTACATTGAAATATACATAGTTAATACTGGTATCTGTGGAGAATAGTTTATTTTTCAAGCTCCGTGGAGAATATACTAGCATACTAGATTGCACTTATGCATGTCACTTTTAGATCTCAGAAAATGCCTCAACCTTGATGACTTTATCCATGTTCTTTTTAGTCTGGGTTTAAATTCTATTGATTGTACAGTTCAGTTTACATAAATGCTGCTGAACTTATACATGACTATTGCCTATTTATTTATGTGGAAATCTAGAATGAAACAATAGGCAAAAAAGGTGATCATCTAACAGAAATCAAAATAGTCCAATTATGGAAATGAAATAATCCTTATTAATCGAAAAATGTTTAGAAAACTGGCTAGTAGGATTTCTCTAGGTAGTACAACCTGGTTTGACTTCAGATTCTCGATGACTCATATAACTTGTTTCTAGGTATCTATCATTCCCGCTTGCCATATATTTCCTAAAATTGATTTCAATTAGTTTTTTGGTCAACGTTGCTAATTTTTCAAGTGAGCACGGATGATGTGCAGATCAACTTCTTGTTGTTATTTTCTTACAAGAAATGTTGATCAAGACTCTTCGGTTTAGACGACGTACCCATGTCGATACTATTACATGGATATGGGTATGAATCCCATGTCGAATCCTTCCATTTAGAAGTGGACGGGGCATAAACGTGGAAATGGGATCACCACGGAGGAAGCAGAAGTTGCTGGGAAATAAAGAGTAGGCCCACGATTATTAAAGCAATAAAACTGATTTTGAGGCATAAGACCAATATTAAGGCATGAAACCAAGCTTATTTAATGCTACAATTATTAAAAAATACATCTAAAATTATCAGTATGTAATAGTCTTAAAAAAATTATGTTTCTAAGTGTACTCGCATACCCATGCTTAAATTTGGATCCTTTTTAGTAGTATCCTATATCCTTAGTCTTAGAAGAAAAATGATCCGACTAGGAGTCTGTACCCAAGGTGGAGCAACATAGTCCAAAACAATAAGGAGAGCAGCATAGAGCTGAAAATAAAATTGACTGAAGAGTAACAGTTTGATACGGAATCAATCATCACCTGCCAACTATATTTACAACTGATTCCTTCTTGTTTTTATCTGCTCCTGTATCAAAATCATAAACGTCGTTGCTGCCCATAATAAACATGTAAGTAAACAGCAGAACATCCACTCAGCAACACCAAAAGACCACTTTCAAAATATATAATACAGAATAGCGTTAAATAGTAAAAATATCTTAATTCTTCTACTGGCTAATGAGCCACAAGAAACTAATGAAGCAAAATAAGTTCACTAAACAAGCAGCTGTACATTTCAATGGAGGAATACCTTTTGTTTCTTCACATTTTAAACAGATTTATATTCCATATGGAATGCTCTTTTTTCAAAGTTAGTATCATATATAAAGTGAGGTAATTGTAAGTTTCTCACCTTAAGTTGAGCCAAGTGATAATTAAAACTGAAGAAGCCAAGAGAATAAAATATCGCCTGGCAAAATGTACACCAGTCTGCAAATAGGCAGCTGCACTTCCTACCTACATGCAGAAACAAATTTTGCAAACACAAACATTATCTATCGTTTGCCATAATAGAAAGACATGCATGAGCCACTAAAAGTTTGATTCTAAAGATGAACTAAACAAAAACCAGAATTAGTTGTCCGTTTGTATTCTGGTGAGAATATTAGCTATATAATCCTAAACAGTGACTACTATCATTGTCATTCCAACCATGACTAAATGGACATTCTGCTTATACATTATAGTTCTAATTTATCTAAAACATTTTGTTTTCAATTGTCTTCAGGAAAGTTTTTTAACTTATGATTTTATATCCCTCATAGTCTTCAACATTAAAGGAGAGGGTTGTAATAGATTGATTTCGTAACATCAATGCACTAATTCTTGAGCTGATAAAAAACTATATGATTAGTAGGACCACTATTATTTACATAATTGTCTAGCATCTTCTCCTTCAAGTTTATGAACAAAATAAGAAAAAAAGTAAGTGGATCATGAGACCAGGTCTTACAAATTTTATATTGCTTGAAAATATTAAATATCCTTCTAAAAATAAATTATATCTTCCCCTAAATTTTGCTCCACTTAGGCTCATCCTGAAGTATGCCAGATGCAAAACTGGAAAAAGAAAGAGGTGAGAAAAATTGTAGGGAGAATTTAAAAGTATTGTTTGCACAACTTGAAACTTATGCTGCTATTTATACTATAAAACACCTAGAAAAATAGGAAAATTACCAAAATAATAAATACAACAATATTTTAATGTAAATCTAGTAACTACATGGAGAATTAAATCAAATACAAGAAAAGATAATTAAAATAAATCCTAAACCACTTTTGAAAAAGAAGAATAAATATTGTAATGATGACGTGGACTGCTTTTTGCCGAGATATACTTGACACTGATGTGGTTCCTCACTTGTTACACTCTCAACACTGAAGTGAGCATTAAATTTCTATAGTTGCTATTGTAAGCTAAGAATTACTTCAGCAGATTGTGTGCGCTAAAAAGATGGCTGTTAGGCACCATTATTTGTAGAATAGTGACAACTATGTGGAGAGGGTGTCTCCTATAAGTGAAGCGTGTTTTGTTTGGTAGATATATAGTTGTTCCTGGAGGTCTCACTAATCCCCTTTTATCGTGTTTCCTTTGGAATTAACTTACCAAGTAAAGAGATGGTTTAATGTGTTCACTCAGTTACATTATTCTACTCAAGGGTCAGGCTTGCAACAATCTATTCTTTGGAGTGATCGACTTTGAGGATGGTGGTACAGTACTCCCACAATCATGTATTGTTTTCATCTTTAAAATCTCAATTTCCTCTCTAAATTTTCTCAAATTTAATTTTCACAACATCCCAATTTGTTCTTCTGCTTGGTACTAGCCAGACTCCTAACAAATCTTCCACTATTTAATTGTAATTTGATTAAATGCAAGCAGTCACACCGGAATAAGTTTGAGAGAGTCATCCAATTGTACTAGGTACAAGCATGTCCAAATTCACAAGAGGCATGCATTGAGAGATAATTCACCATTTATCTCCTCGTCTTTATCAAAGAGAAGTGGTTATGGATAAAAACATATAACTTGGTAACTGAAAAAGTTATGTACACATTACGAAACAATGCACTTACCGTTAGAGGAACCAAGGCGACCGAATATATTGGCAATTTGACGGCTCTCCATAACAAAGTAGCCTGGGAAATATCTTCTTTCTTCTCCTCTTCAGCTGCTACATTATCATTCACTGCTCTACACTTGAGTAAATTTCCAAGACGCATATGATTTGGCTTAGATTTTAGTTGTCTAGTGTGTGTATTTTTGTTGCTACCATTATAGCATAATAATCTTTGCCTTGAATCTGGAATGGAGAATACTGGATGAGTCCTGAAATTGAAGGGCATGAGTCTTCATAATATTTACTTTTCAAAGAGGAAAAAGCCAATCTTTTAGAATTATGGGCACAATATTTACTTTTCAAAGGGGAAAACCAATCTTTTAGCTTATTAAATTTTTTTTTTTTTGATGACAGGACACTCACAGTCGCTACCCTTCGGGTGCGCATTGGGTAAATTCTAGGACTGACGCAATAGCCTGCAAACCGTCAGTCAGGTAAACCGCACTAGGCAAGCCTGATGCAACAGACTCGACTGAAAAAGTATTGGTAGAGTGAATCGAACTCCTGATCGAAGGCCTCTGAGCTCACCTACTCCACCAACTCGACCACCATGAGGGGCATCTTTTAGCTTATTTTTCCACCTAGATACTATTGTCAGTGGTATCAAATCTTCCCTTCCAAAAGTGACATTAAGGAACTAAATTTTACCAATCACAATTTTCCATCTCAGAGTTAAAATAACACCTAAAACTAAACTAAATATTCCAACAAAATCAATAGTTATTGTTCTCCTGCAAACCGTCAGTCAGGTAAACCGCACTAGGCAAGCCTGATGCAACAGACTCGACTGAAAAAGTATTGGTAGAGGGAATCGAACTCCTGATCGAAGGCCTCTGAGCTCATCTACTCCACCAACTCGACCACCATGAGGGGCATCTTTTAGCTTATTTTTCCACCTAGATACTATTGTCAGTGGTATCAAATCTTCCCTTCCAAAAGTGACATTAAGGAACTAAATTTTATCAATCACAATTTTCCATCTCAGAGTTAAAATAACACCTAAAACTAAACTAAATATTCCAACAAAATCAATAGTTATTGTTCTCCAATTCCACCTCTAATACATCAAATTCTAAAAAGCATATCCTCTAATACCGACCCAATTACATCATATTCTTTTACACGTAATTTCACAAAATTCAACAGAGAATATAGATAAATAACACTTGCCTCGTAGTACTCTGCTTGTTCAGGAGGTAATCGTTTAGTTTCTTGATGCCAGACCCATGATTTGTACTGCAGAATGTGGCTATGGCTGCCATTGCCTATTACTTCAATTTATTATGATTTTAAATTTTTAACTATGAGATAGACTTGAATTCAAGAATCAAAAGACGCATTATTTGAATAAATACGGAATTCGTGTAAAATTAGAAATTCTTCAAACAAAAGCGAAAGAAAAAAATGCAGACCGATGGTTAAAAAGTTGAAAAAACTGGGCAAGGAAGAAAAAATTTGCTGGAGATTATTGTAGTCTTATCTATTATCTTTTCATGACCACTGACGCCGAGTCCTAGACATGTTTGCATAAAAAGAGAGACAAGGCCCCCACAAGCCTACTAATCTTTCTCACGTGCAGGAATTAAATTGTCTGAAAATTATTTTATTGAAAATTATCAGTGAAAAATATTTAAATAAAAGTATTTTTTTTGTATTCGTTTAACTTTATTTTCCATAACAATTGTTAATTTAAGAGATACTCTTTTTACAATTGTTTTTAAAACTTGTTTTCATTGCTAAAAAATAAAAATAAAATAAAATTTCAAGAAAATAAAAAAATTCAAAAATCATTTATCTTTTAGTATTCATTTGACTTTATTTTATATGAAATTTGTCAATTTAAGGGATATCTTTTTTTACAATTGTCTTAAAATTTGTTTCAATTACAAAAAATTAAAAAAAGAAAATATGAAAAACCAATTCCCACCAAAATGATGGAGAATTGAAAAGCCATGAAAGCAAATGTTGAGGTGGCGGTCAAAGCGGTAATATCAATTCCCTAAAAAAATTTGTCAA